GAGTCTTTTTAGTGAACATTGGAAATAGCATAGAACTTTTATAGGACAGAAATCAAAGATCTCAGTGGGCTGAATCAAGCAAGATATACACAAAGAGGATGATAATAATTTCCCATTGACAGATGTATTCTCCCAGTGGTATTGGTGGGTTTGCATTGATATATTTTTCCTAAAATGCTGAATGACACATTTATAAAATGGTTAGCAGTAAATCAGGGAGCGGTCTGTAGTCATAGAACAGAACAAAGGTGAGAAGGAGCCCACAGGGAGTCAGATTCCTGGATTTTGTTCATCAAACATTTACTGAGTGCCTACTATATATCCTGATTATAAAATAAGACACTGTCCCAGGTCGAGGTCCTGGCACTTCCAAGCAGCTGAATTGCTGCTACTCTGCTCTTTCCAGTGGGAAAGGTGCTTCGGGCTGGTTGCCATTTAATAATGAATGTGGAAAAGAGCAATAAACCCATTCTTCTTACTGCAGTTGGAATTGTCACCTGTTCTGAATTATTTGGCTTTCAGTTTTCAAGGGATCTCAGCATGTTTTTTATTTTCTTAATCTGAGTTCTATATTAAGATATGATAAAAAGTCACTAATTCAGAGTTAACTATTTCAGAATTTATAATAATTCAAACTTTAATTGTCTTCGTTATAAAAATGAAGAAAGCATTTGAGGGCTAGTAATACTAATAAGAGGGGAAAATCTCACATGTAATCTATGTAGCTAAAATCAGACTATCATGTTATACATATTTTAATACATACAGAAATATTTAAATGCACAAATGATTTGTGAGTTGCTGTCTTTGTCACTACTAACAGCATGACTGTAAGCTGAGTTTTATTTTATATTTCCAATGAGAATTACAAAACACTGCTCAAAGAAATCCAAGAAGACACAAACAAATGGAAAAATATTCCATGATCATGGATAGGAAGGATCAACATTGTTAAGATGTCCATCCTACCAAAGGCAATCTACAGATTCAACACAATACCCATTAAGTTACCAACATCATTCTTCTCAGACCTGGAAATGACAATACAGAAATTCATATGGAAACATAAATGACCACGAATAGCCAAAACCATCCTTAGCAAAAGAAACAAAGCAGGAGGTATCACAATTCCAGACTTCAAACTTTGCTATAAGGCTACAGTAATCAAAACAGCCTGGTATTGGTACAAGAACAGGCACACAGATCAATGGAACACGATAGAGATTCTGGAAGCAAAGCCTCAATTCCTCAACCAACTCATCTTTAACAAAACCTTCAACAACAACCACTGAGGAGAGGAGAAACTATTCAATAAATGGTGCTGGGAATACTGGCTGACCACATGCAGAAGATGGAAACAGGACCCCTACCTATCACCATACACAAAAATTAACTCTAAATGAATCAAAGACCTAAATGTAAAACCTCAAACTATAAGAATCTTAGAAAGCGCAGGAAGCACCCTTATGGAATTTGGAACTGGGAACCAATTCCTATTCAGAACCCTAAAGCCCCATACATTAAGAAATAAGATAGACAAGTGGGACCTCATCAAATTAATGAGCTTCTGCAAAGCAAAAGAAACCATCAAGAGAGCAGGGAAACAACCCACAGAATGGGAAAAAATATTTGCCAACTGTATATCTGACAAAGGCCTAGCATCTAGGATCTACAAGGAACTCAATGCGCCAAAAGGAAAAAAAACAAACAGCCCCTTTAAAAGTGGGCAAAAGACATGAATAGACACTTCTCAAAAGAAGATATACGGGCAGCCAACAGACACATGAAAAAGTGCTCAGCCTCACTCGTCATCAGAGAAATGCAAATCAAAACCACATTGAGATACCTCATAACCCCTGTAAGAATGGCAATCATTAATAAAACAAACAACAGATGCTGGTGAGGATGTGGAGCAAAAGGACCGCTTCTACACTGCTGGTGGGAATGCAGACTAGTACAACCTCTTTGAAAGACAGTGTGACAATTTCTGAAAGGACTAGAAATTGACCTTACATATGACCCAGCAATTCCCCTATTGGAAATATATCCAGAGGAACTCAAATTATTCTATAAAAAAGATACCTGCACACATGTTTGTTGGAGCTCTATTCACAGTAGCAAAAATATGGAACCAACTGTGTTGTCCATCGAAGCTGGACTGGATTTTTAAAAAAATGTACATATACACAATGGAATATTATGCAGCTATAACAAAGGACAAATATATGAACTTTGTAGGAACTTGGATGTATTTGGAGTCGATCATACTCGTGTTTTATCACAGAAAGAACTGAGTTCCATATGTTCTCACTTATAAGCTGACTTTGAACAATTAAAATGCTATAAGAAAGTGACTGGCAGTAGTGGAAAACTGTCAGGGGAGGGGGTGTAGGATTGGCAGTTGAGGGAAGCTGCTAGGGGAGGGAGGGGCATACCTCATCAACAAGGGTACCTGCATGATCAATGTTTATATACTTAACCCTGAATTGTACCCCACATCTTTATAATAAATTTATAAAAAAGAGAAATTGACTTGGGTAGTTTCTTAAAGGTAATCCTAACTCTGATAAACTTTGGCAATTTAGAAGTCTAAAAGGTAGACTCAGAATTACTGCCCTTCCAGCACTTCATTAAACATTTGAGAAAGCATTCAATTGTATCTTTTAATTTTTTTACTTTTTGTGTTGGGGAGTCTCAGTCTGTCACCCTGGTTAGAGTGCAGTGGCACAATCATGGCTCACCACAGCCCTGACCTCCTGGGCTTGGCCAATCCTTGTGTCTCAGCCTCTTGAGCAACATGAATACTACATGCCAGGCTAATTTTTTTGTTTGTTTTCTTTCATGAAGACAAGGTCTCGGTTGGTTGCCTAGACTGGTAATATTGTATTTTCTAAAGACTCTTTTATCATTCAACTTGGGACTTGGCAGAATGATTTATCCCCACAGGTCCATGTTTTTATGGTTTTATGATTGAATTATACTAGGACTCAGAAAAGAAATCCGGTTTAGGTATTAGAAAGTTGTTAGACGGGAGGGGTGTGGAAAACTGCCAGGGGAGGGAGGGGCACACCTCGTCAACAAGGATACCTGTATAATAAACTTTTGTGTACCTAATCCTGAATTATACCCCACATCTTTAAAATAAAAATAAAAAATAATTAAAAAAAAGAAAGATGTTAGACAATAGTGATTGATTAAAATAAATAAAAGCTAAGCAGGTCAGTGGTGTAGCTCATGCCTGTATCCCAGCCCTTTGGTAGACTGAGGCTGGAGGATCTCTTGAGGCCAGTAGTTCATGACCAGCCTGGGCAATATAACGAGACTCTGCCTGTACAAAAAAGTAAAAACTACACACACACACACACACACACACACACGGCAGTGACTTACTGTAAAGCATAGGCTATCAAGAGGAAAACTTTCCTTGCAAAGATATTTGCCCTAGCCGGGCTCTGTGGCTCAGCCTGTAATCCCGCACCTTTGGGAGGCTGAGGTGAGTGGATTGCCTGAGCCCGCGGGTTCGAGACCCGCCTGGACAACTTGGCAAGACCTCATCTCCACAATAAATCAAAAAATCAGCCAGGCGTGGTAGCGCGTGCCTGTAATTCTGGCTACTCGGAAGGCTGAGGTGGAAGGATTGCTGGAGCCCAGCAGGTCGAGGCTGCGGTGTCCGGGAGCGGCCACTGTACTCCAGTCTGGGCAACAAAGTGAGACTCCAACTCAAAAAAAAAAAAGATATTTGCCCTAAATAGACATTCCTCAAGAGAATACAGATGACCAATAGAGTATATGGAAAAATGTTCAGCATCGCCAATCACTGAGGAAGTATAAATTAAAAACCACAATGAGGTATTACCTCACACCCCGTTAGAATGGTCACTGTGAAAAACACAAAAGGTAACAAGTGTTGGTGAGGCTGTGGAGAAAAGGGTACAGTGTTGATAGGAATGTAAGTTAGTATAGCCATTATGGAAAACAGTATGGAGGTTGCTCAAAAAATTAAAAATAGAAGTAAGAGTATGATCCAGCAGTCCCACTCCTTGCCAGTATCCCTAGTCAATGAAATAATTGTGTTGGAGAGATATCTCCAACTCTCATGTTCATTGCAGTATTATCCATAATAGTCAAGATATGGGATCAACCTAAATGTGAATAAATGGATGAAGAAAATGTGGTACATATACACAGTGGAACACAATTCAACCTTTAAAAAGAAGGAAATGTCATTTGCAACAACATGCATGAACCTGGGGAATATTATGTTAAGTTAAATAAGGCAGACACAGAAAGACAAATCCTGTGTGGAATCTAAAAAAGCCTAACTCACAGAAGCAGAGAGTAGAGTGGTGAGGAGAGAGGGGTTAGGGAGATGTTGGTAGGGGATATAGAATTTCAGTTAGGAGGAATGAGTCCAAGAGATCCACCGTACAATATAACTGAAGTTAATAAAGATGCATTGTATACTTGAAAATTGCTGAGAGTAAATTTTAAGTGTTCTCACCACACAAAAAGATGTATGTGAGATAATGCATATGTTATTTAGTCTGATTCAGCCATTCTATAGTGTATGCATATATCAAAATATCATGTTGTACACCTTTAATATATACAGCAGCTTTTTTATTAATTAAAAAGCAAATGAATAAAAATGTTTAAAAAGAAACAAGAGAGATGTGCCAAGTAAATACTTCAGGAAATCTGAGCAGGCTGCATTGATAATGTACTGTGGTTTGAGAGCCTTGTTCGTGTATTGTGAGATCTGAGTCTTGTGCAAGATCACATTGGTAGTTTATTTCCATGCTGTAAAATTTGGTATTGTGATCATCATTACTGAAACTTAGCCACAGATTAAAGTGATTTTGATAAACCAGCAGTTGTTTTGCTAGCATCAGCTTGTCCTTTCCAGACCTATATTTACTATGCATTAAATTGCCTGACTGTGCCTCTTTGTGTGGACTTATTTGAATAGTTATCTCTAGCCATGCTTTCTTCCCCTACAGGTAAAAATTCTGTGTCACCAGTTGCTGGTCCAAGTATGTGACCTGCTCAGGCTAAAGGACTGTCACCTCTTTGGACTCAGTGTTATACAAAGTAAGTCTTACACCCATCTGTGAGGGATTTCACCAGGTATCCCTGAGGAAATGACATTTTATAGCTGTAACTTAAATAGGGCATATTTTTATAAAACTGTGATTGTCAAAATATCCATAAACTGATCTTGATTTTTAGTCTAGTATTCATTTTTAAATCTCAATCACTGTGTATTTCTTACAAGATTTGGGATTTTAGGCATGTATTTGTTATAGTTTGAACTTAAAAATGGATTCCTCTTAAGGAATCTAAATTTTATGTGTTTGTTCTTTCATAAATCAAGCTTGATTTTTGTTTCCTTGCATTCAGGGAACTAGTAGGAAAGTAACCTAGGTATTTTTGTAATTTATTTTATAATTTTTGACATTAAACTGACTTTCCTCTTTTCAAGTTCTCTTACTATTGATTGTGTAGTATAACAAAGTAATCTATTAATCTTATTATTTGTTTTTCTCTCTTACCCCTTTTCTTTTTTCCAGTCAGACTATATAATGGAAATTTCTTCAGTAACTTGGTCAATCAATTTCTTCTATACTATTTAGATGAAGAAGATTTTTTTAGTTAAGGACTCCATATAAGATTTTTTCTCCCTTAACATCTTAGTTAAATTCCCAAGACTCATCTGCAGCCATTTTATTATACACTTTCTTCTTTCAAAGTATATCTAAACATTTTTCTAATTCAGTCTTCTGCATGCCAAAAATCTTTCATATTTTTGCTGATTTTGTCAAGAAGACTTTTGTGAATATATACTTAATTATATTTTATACTTGAACTGTTGCCGGAGTTGGTTTAAGTTTATAGTTTTAAGGTAGCTTGAGAATCTGGTCAATACCATTAAATGCTTATATCTGCCAAGTTGGAAAGTCGTGGATTATCATGGCCAACTGATAACAAGACCCTTTTTACTAAAAAAGTGAACGTTTTTCAGATGCCTTTTTAGAAGAGACCAAAGAGTATGGTGCAAGAAACGCCTCAGGTCCCTGTGAATCAGCCATTTGCCCCTCAGTTTTTTCCTGTGGTAGTTAAAACAATAAAAACATAGATGCTAAGGTCTAGCTTGTGTTAGTACACATGTCAGTCCTTCTTTTAAGGAAGGGTCTGGGAGCAATAAGATGCCCTGTAGATTTATTATTCTATGCACAGAATTAATTCTTCTTACTACAACTACAACCAGACTGTTCATCTTTGTTGTTTAACAGGTCAGTCCAATAAAACCAGTTTACAACTTCCTTAGGTTTCAAAATAAGAGTTTTTAAGAAGTCCCTTTTAAAAAGAGATTGCAGTATGGCGAAAGAACTTCAGAGCAGGAGTCAGATGGCCTGGTTCTAGTTCTGGTTCTACCACTGACTGGAAGTGTGGCTTTGAACACACCACTGACTTCTCTCAACGTCAGTGTTTTTCACATGTCAACTGGTAGAAGGTAATACTCCACCAGCTTTTCAGGATTGATATGTGCTTGAGAATTCTTAAAGTATAAAGCTCTGGTAAAACTGTAGGTAGCAGAGACATAGTGGTAGCTTAAAAACACATATGTGTTATTATAGTGCACAGTCTCAATTCTATTTGTTATGTTGCTTCTTCAGACAGGAACTCAAGCCAAACATAAATCACTTTCAACAGGAAGGCTGTCTGATCTTGCCTGTTGCATGTTTAATCAGTAATATGAGAGATGGGAGATAATGTTAGTTGACCGATAGCTAAATTTAAGTAGCATTCCTTTTCTTGTCTTTGGTATTCCTTTCATTCAAGTTGGTTGACATAATATGCCATTTATAGCCAAGGAGTAGTTTTACCCTTCTTATTCTCTTATGTCATTTACCGAGGAGTCACAGTGTAGCAAAGTGTTTGTCATTGGAACAGACATGCTTCTCTTCCAGAATGAGTTCTTTTTTGGTGGGGGAGTAGGGTTGAGTTGGAGTCTCACTGTCACCCAGGCTGGAGTAGAGTGCAGTGGCACACTCATGGCCACCACAGCCTTGACCTACTGGGCTCAGGCGAGCCTCCTGCCTCGGCCTTCCATGTAGCTGGAACTACATGCACATGCCACCACGCCCGGCTAATTTTTTGATTTATTGTAGAGTCATTTTACCAAGTTGCCTAGGCTGGTCTTGAACCCTGGACTCAGGCAGTCCTCGCACGTCAGCCTCCCAAAGTGCTGGGATTACAAGCATGAGCCACTGCATCTGGCAGAATGTATTTATTTTTATGCAGATTTTTTTATGAGGATGTCCCCTTAGTTGATAGAGGAATAATTTTTTGTTTTGTTTTAATATTTAAAACTTTGACCAGGCACAATGACTCATGCCTGTAATCTCAGTACTTTCGGAGGCCGAGACAAGAGGATCGTTTGAGCCCAGGAGTTCAAGACCAGTCTGGGCAGCATAGGGAGACCTTGTCTCTACAAAAAAAAGATTTTACCTAAAAAAACTTTGCCTAAGACAGGAATGCTGAAGGCTTGTCTTATGAAATATGTTTGTCTTTTAAAAGATTCTTTTGGAGAATTCTGAAAACTACCCCCACCCAGGTTCTCATATGTTTAGGTCATGTTTACATAGGTTTCAACTGTCTTATTTTCTGTTCACCTTATGGACATCATCCTCTTGTAGGAATATTTTGGCGTTCATACTGTTTTTCTTCTCCTGTTTTCATGAGATCAATCCCAAAGGTAGTGTGAGTGATGTTCTATCATTTGTTATGCTGTGTTTTGATGAGTGTGGAACACAAAAGAAATAGCCTTAAAGATTATTCTTCACAAAGATTATTCTTCACAAATGGGTCAGGCTTCTCACTTGGAAATGGGCTGATATTATCAATGTTTTCTAATTTCTTTAGTAGCAATTAAGATGGTGTTTCTGCCTGGTTTCATTATTTCACATCTATGAGAACAGTCTTCTCAGAGATGAACAAAAGCATGTTTTTCTAAAACTTACGTCATGCCCACAGTGTTGGAAGTTAGACTATAAGTCATAACAACCCCAGAAGCTAAGAAAAAGCAGAAGTTGGAAGCCAACATTTCTTCTAAACATTAAATATTTTTAACAGTGTTTGTTTAGTATTGCAAAAGCAAAATAATTAATAAAGAATCTCGTTAATGTCTAGTTCACGGGGCCTTTTATCTTTTAGTGTCTTGTTGGGTTGTCTTGGTAATATATGAATGTAGAGTACATTCACAGACCTGAGTCTTTTTTTTTAAATCTTGTTTATTTATATATTCTTTTCTTTTAAAAATCTGTCCTTTTCATTTTGTCTCCTTTGCTTTTTAATGTGCAGATAATGAACACGTGTATATGGAGTTGTCACAAAAGCTTTATAAGTATTGTCCAAAAGAATGGAAGAAAGAGGCCAGCAAGGTACGACAATACGAAGTCACTTGGGTGAGATTACATTTATGAGCAAAATTACTTGGGTTTTTTTTTTAAAGAAAATGTTTATTTTAACTATTATACATTAGAAAAATGTAAGCACTACTCTATACAGTGGAGGAAAAATGGAAAAAGGAAATGATTATAAGTTCTAGAATGTCTTATGAATCAAGTATTAATAGCAAATAATCGGTTCTGGATATCTGTTAAATAATGTTGGATAATAACTTTTTAGTAATTTTGGGATGATGCTTCAAAGTGAAAAGTACGGGAAAATTATTTGCTTCTCTTGTGGCTTTGTTAGTTGTCACAACTGATGTCCTAGACGTTACTACTAATTTTTAAACAGGCTTTTACTATTCTTGCATTTGCTACTTTATTTTATTGTACTGGTGCCTTTATTTAGTAAACATCAATTCCTTTTACAGGGGAGAACATTCACGGGCAATTTACCTAGTATTTCCAGGATGAAGTCAAAAATAATAATCCTAGATCCTCTCGTTTGTATTTAAGAATTCCTAGAATAAACTAGAAGGCTGCTTCAAAGCCAACTACAAAGTAAAGAACATGAATGTCTAAGTAAACAAACAGCATATTAGAATTTGGTATGCAGAATGTCAGAGGAACAGGAGAACATTTGTAATAAAGAGCAAATGGTCACCACAGGGAACAGAGCTGAGTGAGGAGCTGGATCTCAGCTAGAAATTTCCACTGGCATTTATTTTTATCTTCCCTTATGTTATCATTGGCATTACAATGAATGAGATTCAGGTAGAGGGATGATGCCCTGTTTTTTGCTTTAGAACTTTCTAGTTTTATGTGAACCTGGTATCCGTATGAGACAACCATCTAGCCACTACAAGCCCCCACTCATTACAAGTAGATAAAAACTTTCATTGTTTAAATGTGTCTTTCAAATAATGGTATTTTGATTGCTTTTGAAACCCATGTTTGAAGTGACTAGAAATAGCCTGATTTTTGTGTGTGCCTTTGTTTTAGGGTATTGACCAGTTTGGCCCCCCCATGATCATCCACTTTCGCGTGCAGTACTATGTGGAAAATGGCAGATTGATCAGGTATAAGGGCAGGGAGAAATTCTAGGCCTTTACTTCCCCACAGCACTTCTTTGAACATGTCAAATAAGTCACTTGTTTTTATTGTTTGTCTCTACCTGTTAAAACATGAACTCCATAAAAGCAGTGATGTTTTTCTTTCATCTTTTTTACATACACATGTATCCTCAGTCCCTAAAACAGAGATACAGTGGCCACTCAGTAAATATTTGTTGAATGAATGAATGGTAAATGTTAACAGTTTCACTGGCTCTCATTTTCTGTACTCCACTTTTTCATGACAAATCAGTCTCCAAAATGGTATTTCTTTCAAGAAGAAACTAGTATTTTTGTGAAGAGATTGATGAAAGGATTATAATCTTTTCTGCTGATGAGGTAGGTAGTAGGTCAGGGTCAGGAATTCTCCTATAAAAGTTCATGGGTGTTTATGTAGCCTGGTTATATTTTCAGTGTTTGGGGTCTTGCTTGTATTTTTGGCAATAGCTTTAAAGCCAAGATTAAGCCCAGTAAAGCTATCCTGTGAGATTCTTTGATGCGATTTGACAAGGGCAGGTAATTGATTCTTTTTCTGGAAGTGAGTACATGAACCATTCCTATGTTCATGATACAAATTCAGTATTCAGCATTTCAGAACTCAGTCCACACAGGAGGATTCAGTGATGGAAAACTTCCAGAGGTAATTTTCTTGGACGATAGAAAATACTAGAAATGGGAAGTCCGTGTTTTACATATATGTTTGTATCATTTCCAGATACAAATGAAAAAGTAAAAAATATTAGCCCATAAAAATGTTTTTAAAGTAAAAAATATTAGCCCATAAAGAATATTTTTAAAGGTGAATAAATCTTATTAGTTATTCTCAGTTTATATAAATGTTTCACTCAGTTTACCTGATAAATATGGAGTGACCTGCAAAAGAAGCAACATCTATTATTTAACAACTAATTAACCCCCAGGAGCTGATAAATGTTGGATTCATCCCTGTACTTCTGCTCTTACTCCCCAGGGATGGACTGGTCCAAACAATGTACAGTTGACATTATAAAAAGAAGTGCTCCTAAAAGTACTCTGTCCCAAGAGGGAAAATTTCATAAATGTTATATTTTTTAAACTCTTTGTAGTTAAACCACGGTCTTGGTTAAAATAAACCCATGTAGCCGGGCTCGGTGGCTCAGTCTGTAATTCCGCGCCTTTGGGAGGCTGAGGTGAGTGGATTGCCTGAGCCCGCGGGTTCGAGACCTGCCTGGGCAGCAAGACCTCATCTCTACAATAAATCAAAAAATCAGCCGGGCGTGGTAGCGCATGCCTGTAATTCCGGCTACTCGGAAGGCTGAGGAGGAAGGATCGCCGGAGCCCAGCAGGTCGAGGCTGCGGTGGCCGGGAGCGGCCACTGCACTCCAGTCTGGGTGACAGAGTGAGACTCCAACTCAAAAAAAAAAAACATAAAATAAACCCATGTGTCTTTATTATTATCTACTAATGACATTAACTGTGACTCTCAGTTAAACATTTATCCCAAAATAATATGGAAGCAAATAAGCTTATTAAAAAACATGCCCACTTCTTGCATGTTTACTTTGATCGTTTTTAGAGCTTTGACCATGGGTTGCCCCAGTCAGCACTTCTTAATGTATTTAATGGGGATTATTTATTTCTGACCTCAACACATCGTCATGAGTACACTGTTAGTATTTTCTCTTGTGGGGAGTATAATTGTTATGACATGTGCCTATAAAAATACACCCATAAAGTAACATTCACTTAATAAAAAAAACAAAAACCAGATTGAAGGAAAATTTTGGGTTCCTTCTTCTCAGAGGAATTTTTTTTAAAGAACACTATAGTTAAGCAAAAAATTTTTTTGAAGGACATATAAACAGAAACATTTTTTAAAGGGTCTTAGAGTATTTGTAGTGTGCTCAGTTAAAACATAAAACAAAAAAGAACAGCCAAACCTGAAAGCGGGATTGCCCCTCAGATTTGTCCTTGTTTATGTCGTGTATGCAGCATGTCATAGCAGAATTACTTTAGTACAGACGACACATATCTAGCTTCTATTCCAATGCTTGTTCCAGTGAAATATTTGCCATATTTGAGTGGAATGACTCAGACCCTTTTCCCCTTCCCTGAGTGAGTCAAAAGTTGTAAGCCTTGGGAAATGTTAGCTTTGTTGTCTGGGTAGTCTGACTTGGGGTTCCAACCCCCCCCACCTCAGTGAGGCAGCAATCAGGTATTAGCTCCAACCTTCCCCTTTGCTGAGGTGGGGGGGAACAGAAACAGAAGGGCTGCTGTTGCCAGATGGAGAGCAGGATTGGGCTCTGTTTACACGCGATTGGATTGTTGCATCAAAATGAGGTTCTGCTTTCTTTTATTCTCCTAGTGACAGAGCGGCAAGATACTATTATTACTGGCACCTGAGAAAACAAGTTCTTCATTCTCAGTGTGTGCTCCGGGAGGAGGCCTACTTCCTGCTGGCTGCCTTTGCCCTGCAGGCTGATCTTGGTAACTTCAAAAGGAATAAGCACTATGGAAAATACTTTGAGCCGGAGGCCTACTTCCCATCTTGGGTAGGCACTGTTTTCAAATTCTAAGGAGTGTTTTCTCTAACACATTTCTGGTTCATTGCGCTGCTACTCATGTTGCTTCTAGAAATGGGAACTCAGCTGTTTTCTGGCCACTCAAATGCCTCATGATGCGCAAGTATAAATTTAACACTTGACCAGGTGCGGTGGCTCACGCCTGTCATCCCAGCACTTTGGGAGGCCTAGGCGAGAGGATTGCCTGAGCTGGGGGGGGACGGGTCAAGACCAGCCTGGGCAACATGGTGAGACCTGGTCTCTACATAAATCAAACAATTAGCCGGGTGTAGTGCCGCGTGCCTGTGGTTCCAGCTACCTGGGAGGCTGAGGTGGAAGGATCGCCTGAGCCCAGCAGGTCAAGGCTGTGGTGGCCATGAGCATGCCACTGCACTCCAGTCTAGATGACAGAGTGAGACTCCCAACTCAAAAAAAAAGTAACACTTGAGAGTGCAGTACATGTGATGTCTCCATATACTTGGTCTGCTTATGGTTAATGGGTGAGAGGATTGCCATCGGTCCCAAAACGGTGGAACTTGGAATTTGCCCATCTCCTTTTGGCCTTCACAAGGCCTTGACTGTCTTATCTACTATGACCAGAGCAGCATATTCCCTCCTTTAAAGGGAGAAGAGCATGACCCTTCAGAAGGTAAGATCATTCACAGCCTTTGCTGTGTGAGAAAAAATTTATGTCAACTTCTTGTCCTACACTCCCAGGAGAAGAACCACCCCCCTGACTTCAGCAAGAAAATGTAGGTTATTCCAACGCAAGCTGTCTCAAGGGCCTTCTCCACCCCTCCTTGTGTGTATTTCCATTCCTCCTCAGGTCTCTGCTGTGTCATCTCTGTCTCCTGTATCATGAGTCTCTCCTCAAACTAACTCTCCTCTAGTCAGAATGCACAAAACATGATTGGTTCTCACCCACTCATCCTCAGGAAAGAAGAGCTACTACTCTTGCCTGTCCTTCTCAGTAAAGCTTCTTGAGAAGGTAGTGAGTGTATGTTTGACATTTTGGCTTTACTTCCCACATGTGTTCCTGAAGCCACCTTAGTCTGCTTTCTTTCCCCATCAGTCCCCCCATGGTGCTGTCCCTGGGGTCACCAGTGGCCTTTATATCGACAAATCCAATGGACCCTTTTCACTGAATTTCACTGCTGTATTTGACACTCAACCACTTCACATCTTGGAAGATCATCCCCATTAATGCTTTTAACAATCGCCTGCATGCAGGCAACTCCCAAATCTGTTTCTCTTGTATCCGTGAGGTAGGTGTTTACACCTAGGCACCTCAAGCTCAATGATTTAATCTTCTTCCCACCTCAATTCTATGTATTCCCACCTCTCAGCACTTGAGAGCCATCTGGATTCCCTCATCACTGTTCTGTCTCCTTGTCCATCCCATCAGCTGCATCATCCTATAACATGTATGCTTGACTACCAATTACCCAGCTTCAGAAATACAATTATCTTGTGTTTTTGTTTGTTAGCTTTCCCAAGCATTCGTTGTGTCTCCTCAGTCGTAGTGCCTACAGCTTTGCAGGGCCCAGCTCTCAGCCGCTCTACTGCAGAAGCATGCCCCAGCTTCAGGCTACTTTACCATGTACAGGGGCTCCCCTATCACCTGTACCATGACACCCAGGTTCCCAAGCAAAACCTAGAAACTCACAAGGATGTGGTTCCCACATCCAGCTTCTTTTCTGCGTGTTCAGCACCTTGAACTGTATGTTCTGTCAACATCCAGCACACCTGTGGGCCTTTCTGCAGTTACTTTAGCTAGTGAAGCCGCCTCCCTGTTTAACCTGGCTGACTCCTATGCATCTTCTAAGCCTCAGCTCAATTGTGGTTCCTTCTGGGAAGATCATCAAGGGATCATCTTGATTCCTGCTCAGGGGTCAAGAACATAAGTCCCTGGACATAAGTGTTATCTGTCGTATTTTCACTTGATCTGTTTATCTCTTGTCCCCAGTAAAGTAAGGGTTTGCTAGTATGTTCTAAAATTTTTGTCAACTGATTTGTAGACTTCTCTTGTGGAAGAGAAGTTACACTACGTGTCAAGCTATTGCTTGCTGTCTGTGGCATGTATTTATGTCCTCTAGTTATCATCAGGTACTCCCGAATCTTGGTCATTTAAACCCAGTTGGTATGCCATGGCACCCAGTGTGCCAAGGTACCAGTGTCATCAACTGCTGGGATCACCAAAATCGTCTACTTCGGTGCCCTCAAATATTATTTCCAGTGTTTTTGACGTGAATCAAGGTTGACAAGTACTAGTGTAGATGATCACCATGGAAAAGGAATCTAGAGAAATCTGTAACTTGAGTTCTCAGCACAACTTGACAGTTGACTAGTGATGCATCACATTTAATTCTCCGTAAACTATTTAACAGGAAGAAACAAGATGTCAGTATCTGCACATACATTGTAAAACTATAAATTCTCTTAATTATTTTATTCTGATCATTTTAAGCTCCACTGTTTTGCTCACATTGTATACTTCTTTCCATATTTTATAATTCTCGTGAAGTCAGCTAAGACTTTAGTCAGCTTTTCTCTTAGCCTGTAGCTGCTAGATGCTATCCACTTTTGACATATAAAAGCTCAGACTACTGTCTGATGAAAACCTAAGTCACAGTGAATCACAGTGCATGTTTGAGTGAAACTGTTCTCTCGTAAGTATTCCAGCAGTGTTCATTATCAACCTTTTATGCAAGAACCACAAATGTTTCAGAGAATTCCTCCCAGTCCCCTGCCTTCTGTGGATTAACAGGCAGAACCTCCCACTTTGTGCCTGTAATTTTCTAAGAGTTAAGTAGGATAGTGTGTGCAAAATTATGGAAATTTGCATAAACTTTTTTTTCTATTTGACTTTAAAGCCAAGAGAACGTATTTTTTCCGTTTCTTATGATTTTTCTTCTTAGATATTCAGCACTGCAGTTAAATGGACTTTAACTTCCAGTACTTGCTGATTCAGCCTAGCAACATAACAGATGGTGAAAACAGAATAAAAGTGGGAATTTTCTAATGGAAATTAGCCAGTTTACGTGGCCTATTTTAGAATCTTGTCCTTTCATAATTTTGGGGATGGGGCAGTACGTCATTCCAACAAATGTTGCATTGCAACCCCTTGTATTTCAACAGGTTGTTTCCAAGAGGGGGAAGGACTACATCCTGAAGCACATTCCAAACATGCACAAAGATCAGTTTGCACTGACGGCTTCTGAGGCTCATCTTAAATATATCAAAGAGGCCGTCCGCCTGGATGATGTTGCTGTTCATTACTACAGACTGTATAAGGTACGAAGCACAATTTCTGAGAAAAAAAAAATACCTCCTCAGTTAGGATTTCAATTCTTTTAAAATTTGTTACTTCATTTATTAACAGGCTTTTAAAAGAGTGTCATTTGAGCCACCATTTGTTATCATAGGTCGTTTCTGTCTTTCTTCCATGCCCTAGAGATGCATTGTTAATACCCCATCATCCTTGAAGGGCATAATTGAGTTCCTTAAGATCTTTTTGGCTAAATTCCTAAATTCTTAAAGTTGTGGTTTTGTGTGTATGTGTGTGTTTAACCTTAAGAAATTTCAGTTGGAGTCAGTGGTGTTTCTCTGACCTTGAAACAGGATGAAGCATTTTTTAATGATTCTGATAGTGAGATGACAAATGGCCACAAATTGTGAATAAGTGATTATGACTCTATTTTTCTCTTCAGATCTGCTCTTCTACTTTGGAGAGTGACGTTTGTAACTTGTTTGATCAATAATTTTTAATGTTCCTCAATGTGAAGCCATTCCTGCATTGTATTCATTAATTATAAGACCATCACCACAGCAGCTGAAGTTTATCGAGTACTGTGTTCATAGGGCACACTTTATTTATTTGTTTGTTTGTTTAATCCTTATGACTATAAAAAAGAAACTGTAATCTTCATTTTACAGACCAGGAAACTGAGGCGTAAGGAGATAAAGTAATTCTCATAAGATCACAAAACATTATGGCCGAAGCCAGGATTCAATCCAGGCCTTCTTGATGTGCTTACGCCACTGTACTCCATGCTTCCTTCTCTCTGAAGTTTCTCACTTCTGTGTATCTCTAGCCTCATTTTTCCATGCTGGGGCAGGGGTGACACACTCAGATAACAAGGGACTATGCTCAGGGAACCCCTCATGCTACTCTTTCTCATCTTCTTGTCTTCTCTTCCTCTACCCCCTCCTACCTACCCTGTCAATGTCCCCACGAGCGCCACTTCATTGCTAAGTACTCTTGAATGCTCACTTAAATATTCAGAGGTATATTCTCAAACCAAATGGAATGAATTGGTTAAGAGCATGGACAGTTGGGCCTGACATCTGGAACTAAATCCTAGCTCGGCTTTTTACTGTGTGACCTTAGACAAGTTACTTCTCAGTGCTTCATTTTTTCCATAGTGAGGACAGTAATAAATCTATCTTTTAGGACTGCTGAAGACTAAAGAAATTATTGGATGAAAAGTGCTTAAAACAGGCCCAGGCACATGTTAAGCATGCTGTTAGGCTTGCTGCTGTTACCATTACCATTGTTAGTATTGTGTTTGCTGTCTCTATAATGCCCTTTGTGGTAAGATTAGCATAACTAGACCATTAGGGACTGGGCTTTAGTTTGGATGTATTGCTCAGTAATCTGCTTAGCTGGCTCAGAAAACTTAATGAGGGACCAACGTGATAGTTTTTCTGTCTCTTCCATGCCCAAGAGATGCATTGTTAATACCCATCATCCTTGAATGGCATAGTTGAGTTCCCTAAGATCTTTTTGGCTAAAATTGTGGTTTTGTGTGTGTGTGTGTGTTTAACCTTAAGAAATTTCCATTGTGATACCTCAATTTACATGACAGAATGCAAATAAATGACATTTTTCATTACTAATTTCTATTTTAAGACGCAGTAGAAGTACAAACAGTGTGTTTGAAAGGCTGTGGCTTTGGAATCAGGTATCAGTTAGAAGCCCTATGTCCTTGCTCACTTCAGCAGGGAACTGAGGCCACTGTAGCTGCAGTCTTGAGCCCTCCACTAAGTGGGCATGACATTTTCAATATACTTTGCAAGGTTGGGAAGATTCAATGATTCAACGAGATAATGATTCTGAAATAATGAGGTAGAATACCTGGCATGTTAGCGGGTGCTCAAATATCAGTTGCTTCTTACTTCATTTGCTGGGAAGGCTTGCTCTTTTAAAGAATACTATTAGCTGGGCTCGGTGGCTCAGCCTGTAATCCTGCACCTTTGGGAGGCTGAGGTGAGTGGATTGCCTGAGCCCACGGGATCGAGACCCGCCTGGGCAGCGAGACCTCATCTCTACAATAAATAAATCAGCACGCCTGTAATTCCAGGTACTCGGAGGCTGAGGCGGAAGGATCGCCGGAGCCCAGCAGGTCGATGCTGCGGTGGCCGGGAGCGGCCACTGCACTCCAGTCTGGGTGACAGAGTGAGACTCTAACTCAAAAAAAAATATATATATTATTAAGGAAGAAGAATCTTTTTAAAAAGTAGATATCCCCAATTTACCTTTTGTGTAAAAAGTTAATTTTTAAATTTACCTGAAGGTATGGTTCTTCTAAATGGTATAGGAAATGACTCTCTTATCTGCTTAAAACAAGATATTTAATAAAAATGTAACAGAATCAAATGGGGATATTGTTACCTGATGTGCAGTTTTCATTCTTTGGAGAAATCAAGTGACAGCTATTAAATCTGCTTCATTTAGGGGCTGCTCATAAACTGGAAATAAGGTAGACAAAGGACAGGGAACATTCTGAAGAACACTACTTTATACCCCTTTCCCACAAATACATACCTTGTATGTGAACAGTCAGATGTTTATGTGCACGGTTTTATTTGAGAAAACTGTCAGTACAGACTTGAAAGGGAAATTGACCAGAACTTGTATAGGGATGCACTGGTTTCTCCTCTTCAACCTTAAACTGTGTGTCTTTCTTGATGTAACAATATACTAATTGGAAAGAAACAGCCTAAATAATAAAAATAGGCAGTGTCTTCCCTTGACAGTGCCAGGTGAGGAAACATTTTCTGACGATATTTCTTCCCATGTTCATGGAGAAACTGGCACTAAGTTAATCAGTATCTTTACATATTATTTTATTGTTTTTATTGAGAAATCTCATAATAAAAATACTTATTGTATTTATTTTTTATTTTGAACCTCATACCTCATATATACTTCTTATAGATGAGCACTTAAAAGATATGGCCAGAGTTCAAAGTATATGTTTAATTGTTGAGGGTTTTTTCCCTTATAATTGTTGTTGTTTATTTGTTACAGTTTATGGATTAGCTGGTAGAATATGTATTATATGGGCAAGTGATAGTTGAACTTCATAAAAACAAGTATTTCCAAACTAACCGAAAACAAAGCTCTCACAACTTTATTATCTGTCCTCATGAGAGAATCTAAAATATTTAGTCACTTGCCTCTAATTTTGGCTTCTGAGCTGGGAGATTTGTCCAGTTTTAAACATATGAAGTCTGATGCATCTCAGAATACAACTAGAACATTTGATTTAAGATTCTAAGATCTGAGAAAAGCTTAATCATAAGATGGAAGATTAAAAAAACCAGATGACACAAAAGCCGCAAAAATCGTCTTTTTTCCTGGAGTTCTCAATAATATAAAGTATTTAGAATATTGTTGGATATGGAAGTGTTTGTAATATAGTGAAAACACTAAAGCTTTGAAATCTCAGGGATTTCAGAAGTAGAATAGGCCACTATTTATTTAATATGTGCTCATGATTTTCTTAAATCCTGTAGAGATGTAGAGCAAAGTTGCTTTAAGTAAAAAACCTTTCAGTTCTGAATTTCAATCCTGAGATGTTTCTTTAGTGCTAAATTGCCCACTGTATAAAAAAAATATATAATTTTTCATCAAATCTTATTCCTGCAGGATAAAAGGGAAATTGAAGCTTCACTGACTCTTGGATTGACCATGCGGGGAATACAGATATTTCAGGTTGGTAAATGAGAAATAAGTGTCAAATGGTACTGACCATGTCTTACTCTTGCAGTGGGCCTGTGTGGTCCTGCAATAGGTTTGGTAGTTCATTCTCAGCCACTGGCTGTTCCTTATTTCCTGTTTATTTAGCACAGATGTGGATGATGTAGAACAGATGATGTGGCTCCGCCTGGTCCTTAACAATAGTAAGATCAACAAGCCAAAGATTAGCCCAGGTTCATCACTAAAAGATCACTAACAGATCATTATTACCCCAGACATTTCTCTCTTGATTTCTCATTGGTTTTAAATATTCTCTTTTATCCTCTGGAGCACTTACAAGTTGAAAGAAAAATAACATTTTAATATGTTGACTGACCAGACATTTTAATTTCCGTTACACTTTTCTGATAAAACTTGTCCCTTGAATAAATAGCAATGTCACTCTTCAGCAGGTGGGATGGTGTTATCAGACAGCTATCAACAGGGGAGGCAGAATACCTCTTTTTGTAAGACACAGGAAAATATAAGAATCTCATATCTTTGATGTAGGCTAAATATCCAATTATGAAAGTCTGAGTGCCTTATTACACCTCTTGAATGCCTGAGTCATTTGGAAATTTTATTTAAATTTAGAGACAGGCCAGAAGGGAAAAGATTGCTTTGAAAGGACCAGTTAATACAGTCACACAGGAACCAAAAGCTACAGGATGTGTCACTAATCTTCTAATTACTGTCTGCACTTCTCCAAAGAGAGTTGGGGACCTTTTTCAGATTTTAATTACTGTATTTTAGTTTTCAGGGAGAAAAGTTAGAGCCATTTTAGAGTATTTGTCATTTTTCTCATTAACTCTATATATGCATTGTGATTCTTTTCACAGAATTTAGATGAAGAGAAACAATTACTTTATGATTTCCCCTGGACAAATGTTGGAAAGTTGGTGTTTGTGGTGAGTTTAAAATAACTAAATTAGGAACATTTAAGTAATTGCTTATTTTTATGGATTTTTGTTGTTTTGTTTTTAAACAATATGTCTTGGGCACAAAAGTTGTTACATTTAAAAAGTTGATGTTGAAGATAATTTGCTCTCTTGTATCCTAATGCATGCATTAGCTCTGATCCTTGTCACGTGTATCAGTAGTGAACTTGAAGTCAAAAATCTTCTAGCAAAAGAAACTGCTAATTTTAATTTGTGTGTTTGGTCCCTACCACACTCCCCTAAGTTATTCTAATTGTAGGAGATAGTTGATGGGAAAAGTACAAGGTAAGTTCCTTAAATAGAATTATCATAAAAAGCCTACAGCAGGGGGATTGGAAAACAGAAAGCCATAATCAGAGTAAATTACTCTTAGTGTAGAGGTTAACTGGTTCTTTAGGAAGTTACTTCTTAAGGGCAAAGAATATAGAATTATATAAAAAGATGTTTCTATTAATATCTGACTATTTAAAGCTCAGTATTATAAAGAAAAACCTACAATTCTTTCCAAAAATGTACTCATATTTGTACAATATAGAGACTGATACAGATAAGAATTTGTAGACATGTGCTTCTCTCCCATAAGGAAGATGGCCTATATAAACAAAGGGCTACCTTGCAGATAGAATGTGGGCACCGACTCTACACTGCCCTGTGAGTCAGAAGACTTGTTTCACATTACCTTAATTACTTGGGCACGATTCAATCTGATTCCACTTTACTCATACACTAAGTGAAGACTGACCTGCCTTCTCCTCAGTGGCTCTCTCTTGTCCAAGCTCTTTGTGAAAGTATCTGAGCTGTTTGATTTTTTTTTAATGTGTGTGTGTTTGTGTGTGTGTGTGTGTGTGTGTGTGTGTGTGTTCGTGTCCCACTCTATGCCCAGGCTAGAGTGCAGTGGCACGCTCATGGTTCATTACAGCCTTGACCTCCTAGGCTCAAACCATCCTTCTGTTTCAACCTCCCAAGTAGCTGGAACTGTGAGTGCACATCACCATGCCTGGCTAATTTTTAGATTTTTTTTGTAGAGATGAGGTCTTCCTGTGTTGCCCAGGCTTGTCTCAAACTCCTGGGCTTAAGCAATCCTCTTGTCTTGACCTGCCAAAGTGCTGGGATTTACAGGAGTGAGCCACCAAGCCTGGTCTTATGTCCCAAATTAAGTGGTAATAAAATGCATGTATGAAATGGAGCTTTTTTAGGTCCTGGACTTGTGGTTATTGAATCTAGTTGTATATTGGCCTTACCCGAGGAGCTTGTTTGAGATATGGATTTCTGGTCCTTATCCTCCTCTCAAGGAATTTTTGACTCAATGGTCTGTAGTAGAAACCAGGATACTGTTTTGCTAAGTTTTACCAGATAATGATTCTCACAACCAACCAAGCCCTGCCTAGCTGTGTGACCTTGAGCAAGTTACAGAAACTCTCTGTGCTTTGGTTTTATTCCAAAATGGTGATAGTTGACCCCTGCATAGATTTGTTGTGAGGATTAAATGAGTTAATACATGTTTTGTGCTTGAAAAGTTTCAGTTATTTGTATTTCAGCATTAGGATTCACTGGCAGTTCCTTTAAAAAGAAGTTAACAACAGCAACAATAAACACCTCTTCCTATCTGGGCTTTACAAACCCATACTACTTTGTGCCGACTTTAAATGCGTGTGTGATTAAAATAGCCCTCCCTCCCTGCTTACCTCTGCCTTCCGGCTGAGAATCATTATGTCTGAACTATTCCTTTTGTAGTTGCGCTATTTATTGCCAGGAAAGTTAAAGGAATTCATAATATCCCATAACTAAAGAACTTTGCCAAACCCTCACCCCCAACTTAGAACTTTACATTAATGATCCCAGACTTAATGAGATTCCTTACATCTCTCCTGATAGCTGTTTTTTCTTCTTCTCGTCTGATCTCCCTCCAGGTTTCTCGTAGACATCTCCCATTCTTCCTAAACCCCAAATAGATATGTCCTACCGTTATAACTCCTTACTTGTTTTCTTCCCAGAATTTATCATAAGCTATGATTATTATGTGTGTGTTTGCCATTTCTCTAACTGGGATGTAGTTTCATGAGGATGCAAACCTTATCTGTCTTATGCACTGCTACTTTTCTTCAGTGCTTAGCACAGTGGTGCATAGTAAGTGATCAATAAATACTTGAATGTATGAGTCTCTTCTAGAATTCATCTTGTATGCTGAGTTAAGGTGTTGGGATTGCATCTGGGGATACTTCAATGATGGGCCCTTCTTTTCTCCATGAGACAAATATCCTGACCAGCCAGAGAAACCAAAGATATTCCTCAGCTGTCTTACATAGTCAGTGTTTTCTGAAAGACCCTGGTTAGATGCTTCCTTGAATTTTTTTTTTTTTTTTTTTGAATTGGAGTTTCACTCCGTCGCCCAGGCTAGAGTGCAGTGGCACACTCACGGCCACCCCAGTATCGGCCTGATGGGATTTGACAATCCTTCCATTTCAGCCTTCCAAGTAGCCAGAACTGCAGGCACACACTACCATGCCGGCTAATTTTTTTGATTTATTATAGAGATGAGGTCTCGCCCAGTTGCCCAGGCTGGTCTCAAACTTGTGGGCTCAGGCAGTCCTCTCACCTCGGCCTCCCAAAGTGCTGAGTTTATAGGTCTGAGCCACCATGCCTGGCCGTTTCCTTGAATTTTTGGTGTTCCTCTGTCCTGTGATATTTTTGAAAGTGGAAGCAATAACTTATCCCTTAGGGACTTTTAGATGGAGCTTTCTCCATCTATTTCTGAATCTATAGTTTTCTCTACGAAATAGAAAACTTTGGCAAAGCATGGGTTGATTTTCCTCCTAAGTTTGACTCACGCTTTCCTTCGACAGGGTAAGAAATTTGAGATCTTGCCGGATGGGCTTCCCTCAGCCAGGAAGCTCATGTACTACACAGGGTGCCCCATGCGCTCCAGACACCTCCTGCAGCTCCTGGGCAATAGCCATCGCCTCTACATGAATCTGCAGCCTGTCTTGCGCCACATCCGGAAACTGGAGGAAAATGAAGGTACGCAGGGTCTCAGGGCAGGGAAGCAGTAGTGGCCCTGGCCACTCGTGGTCTCTCATCCATCATCACCATAAACTGGGGCTGTGAGCTCCAGGCAATGGGATTTGGGGACTCGGGCTCTCCAGATTCTGAGCAGCATTTGTCCCAGAAGGTAAGGGGACAACTAGAGCATACCCGCCGTAGCAACTATTCAGAGTTTCCCTGGAGTGCAGTCTTTTTAAACTTTCCTCACACACGACTGGCTTGAAAATCCTTGCAAAGCCACCTTGTAAAGGCACAGGGCAACGGTCTATCTGCAACTCAGATTTTATCTGCAACTGACCCACCTTGGTGCTGTTATCCATAGATGGTCTGGAGTTCCTTTCAGTGTTGTTATTCATTAGGTTAGAGTGACAATAAAGGTGTGTCACAGATGTGTGGCCAGCCTCTCTGATTGACAGCTGGGAGACCCCCCACGTCCAGTCCATCAAGGACAAACAGAGAGAGAGGTTTTCATATGAGCATGTTGTCAGCCGTCATGGAGCTTTGCTGAAGTGCAGATGGAACAGAGCAGTCTGTCTGGGGCCCCAGCATGCTGGACCCTGGAAAGTGGGGCCAGTCAGGGTGGGGAGGACAAAGGCTGAGGCCTCTGACATCAGTCTTCAACTTCACAATGTTAGTCTAATGGTTAGCCCTTTATCTTGAACTGTGGCACCCTGGAGTTCCTCCATGTAGCACACATGCCTCACTTCAAATCCTCAGAAATCCTGTGTTGCATATTTGTTTGTTTGTTGATGCTTCCAATTTGACGTACAAATTCACGTTGTAGTCATTCCTTTGGAAATTCGATAGTGTGCTAGTTTGATGAGGTTAGGTTTGGGTTGTTTGCACGAACATCAGGATATAGATTTATATCTTAGGTTCATGTCCAAAACAAATTTGGACCCCTCAGGCTTACCTTTTCTGCAGAAACAAGGCAAATCGCTATCCTCTCTTACATGAACTAAAGATCTTTATAGAAGTGTGTGCTTCTGATTGATTTCTCTCAAAGATGATCTCTCGATCCAAATGAGACCCCATTTGGCAATTCCCTTGGAAAGGAGTGGTGATGAGAACATGAATCACCATCCACTGTCTGCCACCAAACCACACCTGCCTTTGGAGAGAATTGGTACGACTGTCAGGTGTATTGACTTCTGCTGTTGCAGGCTGCCAGTTCTTCCCCACAGTGACTCATTGGTAGAACACATATATCTCTCCTTTGCTGACATGAATACGGAAAGGAATTCAGTGGGGACAGAAGGAGGTTGAGGAACCAAGGGAACCTGTGGGACTAGGTGACTTAATTAGGTGCAGAGTGCATACTTTGCCAAGTCAGCCGCATTTCTAAGTGGCCAACGTGGTGCCTCGCGGAGTTCCTTTAGCTCACCAACCTTCTGCCTGCAGCATTTTGGCACGCCTTGTTCAGATCACCTTGAAGGAGACCTTTAGAGACCGAAAGAATCCATGGCCCTTCTGTAGATTCCAGGGTAAAATGTAAAACGATTTTGAGTGCTCCGAGGGGCAGGGCTTTGTCATCACCATGCATGCTACCAAGTATATCTGGGGGCTTCAGTGAGCAGGTGTCTCAGTTCGTTGTGTGCTGCTATAACAAAAGATCTCACAGACTGGGTCATCAGAAATGGATTTCCTCACAGTTCTGGAGACCAGAAAGTCCAAGATTAAGGAGCTGGTTTCTGGCAAGGGCCTTCTTGCTATTTCATCTCATGGTGGGAGGTGGAAGGGCAAAGAAAAAGAGCCCAGACTCCCCTTCATAATGAACCCCCTCCCTTGATAACCACATTAGTCCATTCATGAAGGGAGAACCTCATAGCTTAATCATCTCTTAAAGGTCCCACATCTGCTACTGTCAGGATGGCAGTTAAATTTCGGCATGAGTTTGGGATGAGGGGGACAGGCATTCAAACCATAGCAGTAGTGGAATGAAGGAATATAGAGGTGTAAATTGGATCTTTTATTTGTGTCCTTGAAGACAGATTTAGGGAAAAACCTTTTCTTCGTCTTCCAAAGAAAACAGGCTTAGTTTCTTCTACTTAGAGGTACCTCTGAGTCTGAAGAAGGCCAAAAACTAAGTTCCTCTGGGCCAACTTTGGCCTGAATCCAGTGATCCCGCCACACTTAAGGGCTCCATCATTTTAACAAGAAAAGCTCTTTTCTTGACATTAGTTTAGCAGAAAAAGTCTTTTTCTTAATTAAATTTCATTTAGTGTCACCTTGTCTGCAACACTATTTTAGAACTTTATAGTAAAAAATCATGACAAGAATTCTTCCTTCCTTAAAAAGGAAGGAAAAACATGCCTTGTGTCATTAAAAAAAAAATTAAGCCTAACTTTATTAAATAGCTGGAGCTTATTCTTAGGTTTTACACATTTACTGCATTAATGTCTAAAGTAACATATGAAGAACTGTCGCCTCTGGACTTTTACAACAGAGGAAGCGAAAAGAACACAGACATATTGATGATCTGTACTGGCTGACACCAGTGTTTATTAGGGGAATGAGAGGTTGCATTTTGCGTTCCTTAGACTCAATCTCAGAGTTATTTAAATGGTTCCTTCAGTTTGACTCTGTGAAACTTCTTAGATGTTTGCAAAAGGTGTACGTGATATAGCACTAAGAAGGGAACAGGAGTCAGCCACATGGAACAGCAAAGCTGCACTGACTTGTTGATGGGAAATATGATTTACACTAGGCTCCTCCTAGATAGAAAACAGGTTAGTGAGTACTAGGCTTCTCCTGAGTATACTAGGGCACACAAAGTAACAGATTGCCTCTGAACCTACCAGGAAGCTAGGAACAAAACTGCTATCTGTAAAGAGGCAGAAAGGCTTTTAAATGGTTGGACCCACAATTCCTTACTTGTCTTAGAGCCTTAGAACTCTGATATCTTGTAGACATTTTTTACTTTTTTTCTCTTCACTTTCCAACTTTCCAAGGACCTCATGGTCATTATTTGTGAAACTACATTTCAGCTCTCCATCTTCATCTCATACTTGTTGCCCTCAGAAGATAGGGATTGTTAGAACCCAGTCTGCTCCCTGAGCAACAGGCTGCACCTGGGTGTGTTTTATTGTGATGGTGTAAGACTGTGATGTCCGCTTCCACCTGCTTTTTGTGTGGCTGCATCTTCGTGTTTGAGCCCAGTTCCTTAGAATGATGGCGGGTGGGCTACAGCCCAGAAGTGTACACAGAACCTTCTCCAAGCATTTTTTTTTTTACACATTCTGGAAAACACATCTATTTTTTTGCTGCTCATTCCCTCTTTGAGTAGCCTGTGGTAATCATACTTCAGAGCTGGATTCAGACATCAGGAGTCCAAGTATTTTCACTTAACCAAGAAACATGACAATTAAATCCATGAACAGGCCCCTGAGAACCCAATTAGTCTACTAGTTAACAATCTCTAAAATAATACCAACTTGACATTCCCCAAATGCACTCTATTTTTAACATTGTTTTAATGTGTTATTTCTCATCATTATTAAGAAGGCAAGGAAGCTAAATGGTTTTTTTGTTTTATATTTCTGACCTTGAAAACACAAAAGTAATGTTTTTGTGTCAGTTGTACACCTGCAACTGAGTTGTAACTTTATGTCATTTTAATGTAATGGTTAGTTTAGTATGTAATAAAAGAGAATTTCCAATGTTGTGCCTTTGACTGCATTAAAGAGTAGCACTGACATGTTAAATAAAAGAGCAGTTTTACCAGTCACGTCATGTGGGCATAAATCATCAAACCAGTCGTGATTACCAAGGCTAATAATCTATTTCTTTTCTAAATAGATAATAAAACCTTACTAGTTCAGTCCAAATGGAGAAAAGCAATCTTAAATTAATGAAAATCTGAGTTTTAGAATCTTTGCGAGAACTCTCAGAAGAATGATTTTATTTTAAATTGTATTCAGCCGCTAGAGCTAAGCTAACAATGGAACACATTGAACAGATGAACAAATAAAATGAATGGCAATTAGCATAATTATATTTATTAAGGGATCTTCCATGGCAGTGCTTCTGAAATTATTTGTGGAGAAGAACCAGATTTTTAAATGCTGTTGACTGATACTTTTGTGGAATGCAGAATCATGCTAGTGGCTGTCATGGCAATGTCAAATAACTGTGGAAGTTTCTAAATGTTCATTCTCAATGACTGAACTTATTTCACTGTGGACCAATAACAGTTTGCAGACAAGAAGTGGTCTGCGACTACACTTTGAATAGCACTCTTCTTCCTGTGCTTGAAGCTTCGAAACTTTGAGTAGCTTAGTCAGTCTCCAGATTGGGCCTGATGGATCACACCTGTAATCCCAGCACTTTGAGAGTTCGAGGCTGGAGCATCACTTTTGCCCAGGAGATTGAGACCAGCTGGGCAACATAGCAAGACCTGGTCTCTACAGAAAATTAGCTGGGCTTGATGGTGTGTGCCTATAGTCCCAACTACTTGGGAGGCTGAGGCAGAAGAATTGCCTGAGCTCCAGAAGTCGAGGCTGTGGTAAGCCATGAGCGTGCCACTGCACTCCAGCCTGAGTGACAGACAAGACTCTGACTTGAATGAATAAATGAATGAAGGAAAGAAGGAAGAAATGTCCTCCTTCAGTCCGTTGCAGGGGGTTTTTATTCAGCTTGTAGTCTTAAGTCAAGCTTCTATCTAAGTTATCACTGCTTTCCAGCCACCAGATTCTGAATGTGAAATTGTCCTTGTTCTCTGCCCAGTGACTCACTTGAGCTGACAGCTGTCCCTTCTGTCTTGCTTGGTCTAATGAGCTGTGTTCCTCACCACGCAGAGAAGAAACAGTACCGGGAATCTTACATCAGTGACAACCTGGACCTGGATATAGACCAGTTGGAAAAGCGGTCTCGGGCCAGTGGGAGCAGTGCCGGCAGCGTGAAGCACAAGCGCCTGTCCCGTCACTCCACTGCCAGCCACAGCAGTTCCCACACCTCGGGCATTGAAGCTGACACCAAGCCCCGAGACCCGGGCCCGGAGGACGGCTATGCTGGCAGTGCCATCCACCGCAAGCTGAAGACCTGCAACTCCATGACCAGCCACGGCAGCTCCCACACCTCGGGCGTAGAGAGCAGCGGCAAGGACCGGTTGGAAGAGGACTCGCAAGATGATGGTACCTGTGCTGCCCCTTGCGCTCTCTTCTTTCTGTCTCTTGGCTTTTCCAAGTATTGGTTATGTAGAATCGATGTGTGGGGGGTGGCTTCAAGTAGTCGCAATAGGGAAGAAGAGGTGTCCTGCCATCTTCCCTGTGACTTGGTTGCGTCACTTGTGTCTGACTGTGTACAGAGCGTCCTTCTAGTCACAATTCTTTGTGACCACAGTGTTGGATGGTTGAGGACTCTCAAGTCTGTTCATGTGGAGTAGAGATGAGTCCTAGAGCCCTCGAGGCAGGATTCTCGATTTCCAGATGAAATAATACAGTGGGTGGGGCAGCAGAGTGGAGTGCAGTAAGAGTGACAGAAGCATCTTGAGCTTCTGGACCTCTCCCCCCAAATAAAGACTTGAGTCCTTGCCATGGGACTACTTAGTCAAGAATGAAGTGCCTCCCGTGTAACCAAGACTACAGGGAATATACAAAGATAGCACGTAGCTGCTATGAATTCACCCTGTGTTAAGGAGGTGAGACCTACAGCCTAGGTGTGTGCCTCTTTTAAATTGCTTTTCTGTCTCATGTGAGTACTACAACATTCAGGTTTGGGGGAAAGATTGACTCTGTAGAGAAAAACTGCAGAACACATGTTTGGCTCCTGTGGAGTTCATGTGGGTCTCAAGTCACTCACACCCCTGAGAGCAGGCAGCTGCAGGAAGCAAGGAGCCTCCCTGACTTCTCGTCTGCCTGTGTCAACAACCTTGCTCTGGCATTCGGCAGACGCCCTGTCAGCTTCAGTTTGCACTTTGTCGTTGCAGCAAGAGAGCGCAGTTTTTCTTCTTTCTTACAGAAGATGGAATAGCTGATGATCCCATCATGGCTATTTCACAGAAGACATGTGGATCACACAGCACTACATCAGTCCTATGAAGAAAGGGAACAAATAATACCCAGTTGGGAATTGTCCCTGGAGTTCACAATGGGAAAGTCTCCTTAGCAGATGTGTCTTCTGCTGAGAATAAGCGCACAGCCACCCTCGAAGTGCAACTGTGGATTGTGACGGTTGTTTCCCTTCAAGTCACTAAATGTCCTTTCCTTCTTCCATGTCAGAGATTGAGATGTTGGTCGATGACCCCCGGGACCTGGAGCAGACAGGTGAAGAGCCCCTGGAGGTCAGCCCAGACATGTGCATCTTCATCACAGAGGACATGCTCATGTCACGAAAGCTGAACGGACACTCCGGTGAGCTGACAGGAGGTTCTCCTCAGGTGGCTGAACATCCTGAACTGAGGAGCAAGTGCCTCTAGAAATAGATGGGGTGGGGTTGCTAGATCCGAGACAGGACTGGAACAAGCCCTTTCAGGTCCTAAACCGCAGGATCCAGTGCCTTCTGGGGACGAAGGGAGAGAGAAACCCTCAGTACTGGGAAGCAGTGTCTTCTGCTCTGTTCTTTGGACAGAAGGGAGTTGTGTAGTAGGGTTTATTTTTTGCTGTTTTCAATCAGAGAGCCATATAGTGCATCTGGAAGGGCCTTGAAGACCCTTCAGTCTGGGCTCCTGTTTACAGATGAGATAACCCATAAATTTAAGGGGAGAAATGAAATACTGCATAGCTAGAAACGCAAGTCAGGCCTCCAGGTTGTTCTGTTGTGTTTTCCCACTCTGTTGTACTAGAACAGGAGTCTAGGAGAAAAAGTGTCATAAAGGGTTGACCTGAAAAGATGCTTGTAAATTTCATGTTTGTATGGTTTATTCTAGGAAACTTGCATTCCCTGAATTCCTATTATAGGGTTATATAATATACAGTATATGTTTTTGTCATATAGAAGATACTGTTTGGGGTTTTGAGGGGGGGTTTTGTTTTTTTTAGTTGGAGTCTCACTCTATCACCCAGGCTGGAGTGCAGTGGCACACTCACGGCCACCACAGCATCAACCTGCTGGGCTCAGGTGATCCTTCAGCCTCAACCTTCCAAGAAGCTGGAAGTATAGGCATGCACCCCACCACACCTGGCTAATTTTTTGATTTGTTGTATAGATGAAGTCTCGCCAAGTTGCCCAGGCTGGTCTCGAACCTGTGGGCTCAGGCAATCCTCTTGCCTCTGCCTCCGCCTCCCAAAGTGCTGGGATTATAGACCTGAGCCACCGTGCCTAACCTGTTTATTTTTAAGGCAGCACTATGGATTTTGTTTTTAAACCTCAGTCACTTCTGCTTTTGTCACACATTATAAATTATTCTCTGCTCTTTAGAGGTATATGCCTTTGGAACCAGCACTATTGAAATGTTCTCTTCCATCTCGAATTGAATGAAAGAAATTGTTACTGCTGGGGTGACCAGTCACTACCCTGTCAGATCCACAGTCCTTGAAGCTCAGTGAGCCTCTCCCAAGTGCTAGGCCCTGGGAATCAGACAGGAGCAAGACCAGTGCACAGTCTGCAGCATCCTGGCATGCACTCTGCCAAGGGCATGAGGCAACTTTTATTTCAGATTTCCCTTTACCCAGCAGAACCATGGCTTCCTGATACTCTGTTGGGAACAGACCTGCTCATGCTTATGGAGAATCACTCTGACCATGCGGGCTCATCAGGACGGTTGCTGTAGACATGCTTGGAGTCATAAACCAAACTTTGCTCCTTTTGCCCATTTGCTATATGTTTTAGCTTTATTTTATTTTATGTATTTATTTTTGAGTCAGGGTCTCACTCTGTTGCCCTGACTGGAATGCAGTGGCATAATCATGGCTCACTGCAGCCTCACCCCCCTGGGCTCGAGTGATCCTTCTACTTCAGCCTCCCTAGTAGCTGAGACTACAGACGCATGCCACAACACCTTTTTAAAATTTTTTGATAAAGACAAGGTCTTGCTGTGTTCCCAGGCTGGTCTCAAACTCCTGGGCCCACGTGATCCTTCCATCTCAGATTTCCTAAGTGCTGGGATTACAGAATTCAGCCACTGCGCCCAGTCCCATTTGCTTTATGATACTGAATGTTCTCTCTTTCAAAGACATTTTAATGCATATTAAGTATAAATTCACAATTTGAGGCACACTATAGGTGCATGGATAGCTCTATTATGTAATATGTTTGTAGAAGGGAAGTGGTCTAAATTAGTGTATGCCAAATGCCATGGGACCAGGGTGGGCATGAGAGAGGCTGACTTTGTATTTATATATTTCTTCATCTAATTTTTATAAGTGTCAATTTTGTAATTTTGAATAGAAATTAAATAAGATGACTGTTGAAGATTTATATACAAAAATGTTCTTTGAAATGTTATTTTAATAGCAAAGAAATGAAAAGAAGGAATGAGTGGTTAAATTATACTCTACTCATACAATGGAATATAATACAGTCATTAAATATGAGATTTTCAAAGAATACTGATAACACAGGAAAGATGGATATCGAAAGTAAAAATTACGTAAAAGGATGACCTCATTAAAAGATAGTGTTGCTGGGCTCGGTGGCTCAGCCTGTAATCCTGCGCCTTTGGGAGGCTGAGGCGAGTGGATTGCCTGAGCCCGCGGGTTTGAGACCCGCCTGGGCAGCGAGACCTCATCTCTACAATAAATCAAAAAATCAACTGGGCGTGGTAGCTCATGCCTGTAACTCCTGCTACTCGGAAGGCTGAGGCGGAAGGATCGCCGGAGCCCAACGGGCGAGGCTGCGGTGACCGGGAGCGGCCACTGCATTCCAGTCTGGGCGACTGAGTGAGACTTCAACTCAAAAAAAATTAAATTAAATTAAAAAAAGATAGTGTTTATATGTATATAAGAAAGAAAATACCAAAGAGTAATAGCCTTTTCTCTGGAAGTAGGATCATAGATGATCTTCGTTTCTTCCTTGCATCATTCTAGTTTTCTAGATTCTCTGCAGTTTGAGCATTTAGATGTCTGAGAATGGTGAGCCAAGACTGGGTAGTACTGAAGCTACCTGCTTGGCCCCTCGTGCTCGGTGAAGGAACTGCTTCCTTGTTGCAGACTTGATGCTGACTTTTCTTTCTCTTTTTTTTGAGTTGGAGTCTCACTCCGTCGCCCAGGCTGGAGTGCAGTGGCACACTCATGGCCACCCCAGTATCGACTTGCTAGGCTCCAGTGATCCCTCACCTCAGCCATCCAAGTAGCCAGAACTATAGGCGCATGCTACCACCCCCGGCTAATTTTTGATTTATTGTAGAGACGAGGTCTTGGCCAAGTTGCCCTGACTGGTCTCGAACCTGTGAACTCAGGCAATTCTCTCACCTCTGCCTCCCAAAGTGCTGGAATTATAGGCTGATCCACTGAGTCTGGTCAATGCTGACTTTTCTAGTGGTGGGTTCCAGATTGGGAGAAGACTATTTACAGGCATGGGAACTCCTGTAATCCTGTAAATCCAGAAGGAACCAAACCAGCTGCCAGTCATTGCACAAGTCTGCATGCTCCTGTGAGGATGTGTTCAAAGGTTTAATGCTTTCTAGAACATAATGATCTTTCTAGAGAAAAGCCCTCTACTAAAGCTGTATTAACCCCTAAATCAGAGTTACACAGAGAGTTTTATATGTATATAAGAAAGAAAATACCAAAAGAGATCATCACAGCACCCAATCACCTTGGTACTGAATGTCCTCATATTTCAGTTAAGTAATTGTCAAATATTTAACATATGAAAGGAATATGCTCGACAGTAAATCATTATGAGACATTGCTAAAGAGTTAGGAGATAGAACACAAGTCATTCTATAGATTACTAGTGGGGGTTGAGTAAAAATGACATTACTTAGGGTTCTTTTTTTGGAAGGTTGGGATATAATCTTCTTAAGATGCCATTTGGCCTTGTCGATCGATATAGGGCTTAACCTTCACCCACTTCATGTGCTGGCAGGGAAAATGTCAGAGACATTCACTTATGTTTCCAGTTCTCATCAGTAGTTTTACCTTCTGAGACCATTTTTTTCTGAATGTTTCACTCACAAGCTAAAGTCAGAGAGGGAAGTGTCGACCTTGGATTTCTGTTTTTAAAAATGTAGTGAGTTTCCCCCAAGTACCAAGGTGATTGAGTGCTGTGATGATCTCAGAGACCCAGTACTGAAGTCTCAATGTGGCCTCTCATTTTGGTCTTCTGCCAGCGGGATCAGCTGCAGGAGGTACATGCCATGGTGTCCCTCAGCCAAGAAGTCTTCCGTGAGCTGAGTGTATTCGTGTGTAGGCCCTGTACCTCACCCCTGTCATGCATTTGCTGTTTGATCATCATTTAAAACTCTAGTGCATAGGTGCTATTATCAGCCCCATTTTATATGAGAAGACAGAGGGAGGTTAAGTACCTGCCCTATACATGGTTAATTAATTTTCTGGGCCAGGCTGCAGTCAGATCTGTCTGACTCCAGAGGACAGAGCCCCTATAGTTCACTACTGCACATCCAAGTGGAACCAAGCCTAGAAGGCTGCGCCACTGTTCAGCAAGAGTTAAACTGGAGGAAGGGTAAGCTTCATGTGATATGGTAAAGAGACTGCTGCACCCAGTCTTTGTTTTCATTTCTAACTTCATCATAAATAGCTTGGTTAGAAGTTTTTAAAAGAAAATTCCTGTTCTAAGCTTCTTCCTACACTCTAACCCCACATTGACTATCTCTACTGTGAGACAAGAGATGTGTGTCGCCCTGGTGGCCCACCAACAGAGGGTCACAGTGGGACTTTTCAGAAATGGTTAGTATTGACGTTCTCATTCCTGGTGGTAGTCCTTGTCAGAAGATGTACTAAGAGGTTTGAATGATTTGAAGTATTTATTGTCTTTTTCCTCTGCTCTACTTTAGGGTTGATCGTGAAAGAAATCGGTTCTTCCACCTCCAGCTCCTCCGAAACAGTTGTCAAACTTCGTGGCCAGAGTACTGATTCTCTTCCACAGGTATTAAAGGGATTGAACATTTCAAATTAGAAACTGAAGTTATCGGAAACTTTAAGTAAGAGCTTACATATTTATTTATGCAAATGAGCAAAAATTAGAAACCCAGAGGAAATTAGTCTTACCAGATCCACAAATTCTATTTTTATGCTGAATTTATTTCCATTTTATTTGCTAGCCCTGCTTATCTTTGAGATGATTTTTTTGTGTGGATAAATCATATACTTTGTTTCACAGTTCATATAGGTGGAAAGCCTCTCCCTTAAGACTTCAGGTTGAGAGAGAGAGAGAGAGAGAGAGAGAGAGAGAGAGAGAGTGAGAGAGAGAGAGAGAGAGAGTGTGTGTGTGTGTGTGTGTGTGTGTGTGTGTGTGTGTTGATTGACTGACTGCAACAACCTGGGAGGATAATATTCTTGTCAGGTGTGTTATGGCAGAAATGTTTCCCCACTCTGGTTATTCCATTCAGATTGAATTTTCAAAGTTTGCAGAACTCAAGTATTTGACAACCTGTGATCACTGTTAAACTATTAAAATGTCAAAAGGTATAAATGGAATGCTCTGAAACTCGTGGTATTAGCATTTGGAGTTAATCTACACCTGATCCCTCTCTTTTCCAAGCACTGTGTCCCCCCTTTCTGTGCTTCACTTTCTAGGGACTTTCCTTGCGTCTTTCCTCACCCTTCTGTATGTGTTTCTCTCTTTTATATCCTTCTTTCTCTTGCATTCTGGCTCTCTTGATTCCCTTCCCCCCTTTCTTTCTTCACTTTTTCTCATTTGTCCTTTCTTTCTCTCATCTCCATCCAAATAACTATTATGCAAAGACATTTATTGCATATGCTTTTGAAAACGCCAGTGAGTAATCTTTCAAGCAGTGTGTGTAGCCTGATGAACTGGCACGCGCACTCCAGAGTCAGACTGCCTGGCTTGCTCCCAGCTCGGTGTTAACTCTTAGGAAATATCTGTGGGACACAGCTGAGCATTACACCTGGGCAGAACATTGATGAGCCTGCGTGGTGGGTTTGTGGGGATGACCAAATGATTCCATGTGTGAAATCCTCTTGGAACCTGGGAAGACTGCATCTGTGCAGCGAGTCATGCCATGCAGGGGATCTCACACACATGTGACACTTCCTAGTAAAATGTCCTCTTGTTCTAACAAGGCTGTCCTTTGTAGTGTTAAGCAGCAAAATTAGAGATAAAATGCCTAGTTTCCTTAAATAGTCCATTAAGTGGCTTCTATTCTTGTAGTTATCTGAACCATTTTTTACCTTCTTTCTGTTTTCCACCATACCACCTCTTGGGATAACACTTCCCTAAATCTGCTGGCTGCTGTGTAAAGCAGGACATGACCCCCTTGTATCCAGGAGCTGCCCCCATCCTGGTGCTTGTCTCCCACCCTTTCCAGCACCCAAGAATCCTGGCTTTTTAAGCAGTAATTCTTCAAACTGTGTTTCTTTGGAATAATTGGTTTGTTTTCCCATTTCTTATTAAAATCATAATAGGCCTCACCCACATTGAATTGCCACATCCTAGTAAGAAAAATAAAGACACAGATTCTTTACCTATACTGCCTTATTTTAAGAGAATTGCTTGATTTCTGAAATGTTTCGGCAGTTGGATTCCTTCTGTGTTTGCATCTCTCACCTTGGATCATTTATCTGTAAAATGGGGAGAATCATGGTGTCTGCCTCCTAGGACTGTTAGGAAGATTAAATGAGTGTTTAGGTCAAGACCTGGCACATACAGTCCATGTTAGCTGCTGTTATCATCAGTGGCGATAGTGTTCATATATTTTCCCATAGGGCCCAGAAACCACAGATTGAAAACTAGTTTCTGACATCGAAGGATTTGGAGCCTTTTCTGATTCTGCAGCATCTCTCTTTACAGGGCAATACACTAACCTTTTGTCTTAGTCTGTACTCTTGAAGTTGTTTCACCCTCCCCTTATTTTGCAGACTGTATGTCGAAAACCAAAGACCTCCACAGATCGACATAGCTTGAGCCTTGACGACATCCGGCTTTACCAGAAAGACTTCCTGCATATCGCAGGTCTGTGTCAGGACACTGCCCAGAGTTACACCTTTGGATGTGGCCACGAACTGGACGAGGAAGGCCTGTACTGCAATAGCTGCTTGGCTCAGCAGTGCGTCAACATCCAAGATGCTTTTCCAGTCAAAAGAACCAGCAAATACTTTTCTCTGGATCTCACTCATGATGAAGCTCCAGAGTTTGTTGTATAAAGTCCATCTTCATGCCACTGTCCGGGCAGCCTGCTGTTTGCTAGAGGACATGAAAGTCATGGGTTCTTGACATATTACTTGTGCCATATTCTCTTCACCCCAAAACATAGCTCTTTCATTATAATATTTGAGATGGAAACAAAAGCCTTCAGACAATTGCACTTTAAGTATTATTACACAGGGGTAAAAGAACTACAGAAAATGTACAGCAATGCGAGCACCCAGGCGTTCACAGATCCTGTGGAAAGAAAGATGCTCGCTGATCACCATGCCTTCCGAAGAGTGGACTGTGGTGTGTTTGCGCATTTGCTGTTGCTTAGTTCAGTTACATGTACCATCACTTTTTTTTATCATGTGAAAGATGTTACTAGCTTTATTTGTTTGCTTGTACATTGTGTACTACTCCCTCATGAAATGCTCGTGGTTTGAGGGAAGAAAGAGGGAAGGTTCTCTCTTCTTTTAACAGAGAGACCATTGCCTAGTAAATATAGCCATTGCTGCCTCGCTGAGGCCATCCCAAAGTGAACACTGATGAAGTGGTCAAACTCATGGAGTTCTAGCAAGCCAAAGATGTGTACCTGACACAAGTACCTGCTCAGAGTTGAGAAGACGTGAATTAAGTAATAACAGAAGACGGTGTATGCTGCGATGCCTTGGGCTCCTTTGCACCTGGTCAGTGCCGTGTGCCTCTTTGATCTTCCAGAAAGCTCCAGGATTCAGTTGAGGTTCCCATCCACATAATAGATCAGTTGTGTTCATGTGACAGTGCATTTTGTGGAGTTTACAAAACTGGTGTCTGTTGAAACTTTAGTTATGTCTTAGGAAATGTTTGTGCTTGGAGGTGTTAGGTTTTTTGTGTGTTTTAATTCTCAAGAACAAACGATCATAATGCTAGTTTCTGCTTAACCAAATTCCCCTAACTATATGTATTTGTCTTACATATATACAAACACACAGGATCATGTGTTTATATATGTTTAAAACTTGCTAAGTTTTCATTTTGCTTTCACGACTCCCTTGTATACATGGAATCCCTTGTTTAATATTGAGAATACAGAACTGAATGAATGATGCCTGCAGACAATCAGTTGATGTATGTAGAGTTAAGAATAACTGTTTCCTCATGTGCCTTTGGCCATGATTCTCAACCCTGATTGTATAATAGAATTTTGGTGAGGAGCTTTTAAAAAACAATGTCTGGGTACCCCCACCAGACCCATTAAGTCAGTCTCCTGTGGTGGGGCCCAGGTAGAATTGCCTTTTCTTTTAAAGTTCTCCAGATGGAGCTAATATGCAACAGGGTTGAAAGCCACTGATCCAGGGGGTGTCTTTGTTACTTTTGAAGTGGAAATGTACAGAAGATGTAGTGTATGAGAAAGGGCCATTTTTAAGTCAGTTACCTGCCGTGCTGTTGTTATGCTATCTAAAGAAACCAGGCGAGTGAATTTATCAGCCTCTTGATGGACAGTAAAAACGTTGCTTGTACTTCAGGAGAGAACTTCATAGCACAGTGTCTTTCTATGAGATGTTTTTAATGATTTAATATTTTACAACCTTTGTTTACCATATTTTGATATACCATTTTTTCTATCTGCCAGGTTTTATTAAAAAGAAAACTATATATTATTTACTAAAGAAACAGTCATATTTTTGTACAAATTATGTTTCCAGGTAACAAAGAAATAGATTTAGGGTACAACAGAACATAGCAGTGTTACCCGAGGATGGGAGTCAGTATTATAAAACAAATGATGAGCAGGAACACGCCCCCTTGTGCTGCCTCTCATGTGCCAGGTGGCGGATGTGTGTGCAACACAGCCTTGTCAAGTTAGGTTCACCTGACACTCTAAAAGGAAAAAAAGCCCCATAGAGTTCTATAGTCATGAAATGATTTTGCTTTTCTCAAATGCTTTAATAGACCAAAGTTTCACATATCAGAATGTATAAAGGTATCTCAGTCTCTGCATAGAAGGATACAAGTAAGAAAGGATCATTTAATGACTATTTTACTTGTAAGTCATTAAATAATCCTCTGTTTCTTATAGATGATGCTTGAGAGAGAAATCATGATGACGTTTGTACTCTAAAGAGCCCAGATCATAAAGCGGTGCATTTCCTTAGCTCTTAGAGTATTTTGCAAACACAAAGAAAAAACATATTTAAGAAAAAAAAGTAAAGAAAGAATTTAATTACTACACACAGGTAGTGCTCTATGCTTTATGTTCCCTTTACTTCAATCAGAGTCAGGTCTTTAGGGTTACTCCAGCATTGGTCATGGTTTTGCATACCTTCTTTCTAATTGAATTTATGAATTGTCTTGTGGGTTTTCCAAAATGAAACATGCTAAGGAACCTTTTTGCTTTCTGATCCACTGTTTGCAGCAGAATTATATATATATGTATATGAAAATCCACTTTGGATAATCTACATTTTTGTATTTGGAAATTGTTTTTAAAAATAAAAAAGAGAAAGAAAAGTATGAAGTTGTTATTTATTCTGCATTCCTTACATTTCCATTGCTAGTCAGTATACCAACTTGATATATATCGCCTCACACATCTACGTCTGTATTTGCAACAGTGAGCTTTATATCTACGTAAATTGTAAATAATCCTTTCTGTGAAAGGATCATCATATCAGGGTGATACCAAAAGTATGTAAGAAACTGCATTATTTTGTAGTTATTTCTTATGTCTCATGGTAAGATTAGCAGTCAATAAAGTTACTTTTCTTTGCCTTTAATTTGCCTTTTTTTATTATTAGAGCTCTCGATTAAGCAAGAAGCATTAAGGAGTGAATGTTTCTTTGTGTTCTTCTTTCCTATAATGGAGCACAGTAAAGGACAATCTGAAGGTTCTGTAAGATAGAATTCCAAGCAAAACCGCCCCCATAGTGGTGATGGTAACCTGGCTGACATGGGTATCACCACATGCCAGGGCCACGTAAGGTAGAATTGCCCGTGTGAACTCATTTATCCTCAAATTCCCATAAGGCAAGTACAATTGTTCTCAAGTTTGAGATGAAGGAACCAAGGTTCCAGGAGGCCGAGGGGCTGAAAGAACTCCACTTTTTAACATCATTTAAAAAAAAATAGCTACTTTAACTTAGACCCTTAAAACAGCCATCATAGAACTATTGTTTTGTTTTAAATAAGTGGTTGCATTTTTTTTTAATTTTTATTTTTTATTTTTTGAGTTGGAGTCTCACTCTGTCGCCCAGACCGGAGTGCAGTGGCCACTCCCAGCCACCGCAGCCTCGACCTGCTGGGCACTGGCGATCCTTCCGCCTCAGCCTTCCAAGTAGCTGGAACTACAGGTGCGCGCTACCACACCCCGCTAATTTTTGATTTATTGTGGAGATGAGGTCTCGCCAAGTTGCCCAGGCGGGTCTCGAACCCGCGGGCTCAGGCAATCCACTCACCTCAGCCTCCCAAAGGCGCGGGATTACAGGCTGAGCCACCGAGCCCAGCTAAGTGGTTGCATTTAACAGCATGCATTCATAAAGCCGAATGTGAGGTCAGTGTGGCATTAGGGAAACAGCCCAGAATTAAGTATTGGTAGACCAGATTCTGGAAAGCCCCTGCTCTCTTTCTAAAGGGAAATCCATTCCTTCTCTTGACTCCTGTTTTGGCTATAAAGTGGGGCTAATAATTCAAAGGACTGTTTGGGAAAATAAATAAGGGAATAGGTTTAATATGCCCCTGATGACTAGGGTGGGAGGAAGGTGGGCTTTCAAATCTTCTAGCAAATATTTAACCCTTTGCATTCAGAAACATCTCGCAGGTCACCTACTAGCAACCCAACCACACTTTTTTATTAATACCAAATAGTGAAAAACGAATCATTTCGTATTACATAGTAGAGCATTGGAACCAATTATTTTATTGTAATGATATTTGGCTTGTAATGGAATTTTGGACATCGGGGAACTTATAACAAAAATAAAAATTTTGGATCCTATATTTTTCTAACGTGGCAACGTGTGAAATAGTCATCTACGTGCGTTGCCAGTTCATTGGTAAACGTGCAGTAGTAATTTGATGGCTTCCACCTAGTGTTTTTCTATTCAAACAAGCAACGCAGTCTCATTTTCTTCTTCCCACATTAATGTGTAATTTATTGTCCAGTCTGCTGTTCGAAGAAGATGTGTAAGGACGCACTCATTCCTGAAAACCACTTCTTAACTGATCAGAAACGACAAATTTCAGATGGGACATAGGCTTTTCATTGTTTTTGAGTGGAAAACTTTAAGGAAGCATACATTTTTTTAAAATTTGCAATTTCTAGTAAGTTTGCCCAGCAATCTCTTTATGTTCCCTTGAGAGGGGACATCTGAGTGTTTTGCTAGATTTATCATGTCCCCTTGGGGGACATCTGAATACAAAGGGTTAGCTTTTATAAATAGAGCCCTTTGGCCATTTGGAAGCATACAATTAAAAAAAAAACTTTCTGGTGGAAGTTATTCATTAATTTTGCAGAGTTTCTGGCAAATCGCAAGTAGGAGTCAAGGGAAGAAAATAGCTGGTCACCTACTATGTGATATTACACATGTGTCTTATCCTCACAACTCTTCAAAGAGTTCTCACCATTTCACAACCGAGGAAACAGTTAAACTTACTGAAGATCCTCCAGCTAGTGAATGGTAGAGCAGAGTTTTAAACCCAAATGTCTGCAAAAGCTTTGTTTTTTTCTGTAGAGAACGCTCAGAACCTAGTAGGGAAGACAGACTTTCCCGTTTTGATAGTGTGATCAATGAAATTTATTTGCGAACTCAGTAATTTTTTTGAGTAGCCACTACGTGCCAGGCATATACAAGGCTTATACAGGTGTTACCTTGGCCCAGAGACAGTAACGACCTGGGAGATGGAGAGTGGGAGACAGAAGAACCGAGAAGGATTTACTGGAGAAAACCTTGAATGGGGACTTCTGGCAGCATGCGGTGAGGTACAGGCTGTCTAGGCAAAGGCTTATAAGCTGGATTCAACGATGGTCATCCAGGGACCTGCATAAACCTCACGGGTCCTTTTGGCTTGAGTAACCACTCTCCAGCTTAGTCATGAAAGCCTTGACACCCAAATGAGGACACCAAGTTATTTTCTAGACAGCAGGAAGCCACTGAAGAGAGTTATGAAGGATAAAGACGAGAGATGTGTTTAGGGCTTGAAAGAAATTATGGGTGCAGCGCTAACAGCAGGTTGGGAGGAAGTTGGAAGATGGTGAGGGTCTGAACTGAAGGAGTGGTAGCACAGAGAAAAGGAGAAGATTCAGAAGCTATGTAGGAAGCAGAACCAGAGCACTGTTATGTTGTGGGTAGTGACCATTGTCCAGAGTTGCAAACAGTGCAAGAACTCATCCAAGTCAGATTCGAGATTCAGATTTATTGAGTACACTGCAAGGGAGCAGTCAGCAAGGCAGGATAGAAAAACTGCACCAAGCTGGCAATTTGAGGTGGTTTTTATATGGGAACTGGCCCTTCAAGTCCTGCCATGCAAATGAGGGATTAAAACATGGCTGTTCTGATTGGCTGGTGTTGGACTCTGATTGTAGGCTGCTCATTGGTCAGTTTGAGGTTAACACAAGGTGGCTCTTGTCATCTAAAATGGCTTCCACGTGTTACACACATAGAAGGTTGTCATCTCCTGAACTAAACATTAGTGGAGAAACGCAATTTGCCCTAACTTGACAAAGCCCATGGGAAGACTAACTGCTTTATATTATGAATTAAAATCTACTCTACCTAAATGTCTTTAGTGTGAAAAATTGGCACAATGGCCACAACTATCCCAATCTGTAGCAGTGATTCTCAACCCCACCTGCACATTCGAGTGACCCAGAGAGCATTAAACAGTGACCCCCAGTGCTTCTGATGTGCTTGGTCTAGGGTCGTTCTGCAAGTCACGCCAACATGCATCATGGTTGCAACCCACTGATCTACAGCTGAGCCCGAGCAATTGCCAGCCTATCTGCCCCTGAGGCAGCATGATTCACATTTGGCGTAGGTTGGGTCTCTAGAATGTCCAGGTATGCTGCATTTTGGAAGAATGACATTTTCTTTTACCAATAAAGCTGTCAGAGAGTGGACCAGTGCTGGAGTGAGGCACTCGCCTCACTATTTCAGAAAGCTTGAAAATACCCACGTTTTAGAGATTAGGGTGTTTTATTCATATGATTGTTTGGCTAAGTATGAGGGTGGGGGTAATGTGAGTTTAGTAAAATACTTTAAAATCTCCTCCCTGTTACTGTTTTATTTGCCTTGTCATTTTTCCATTGCTTTATATTCGTTGATGCCCACACAAAGGCATAATGGAAATAAGGAAGCTAAATTCCACCAGCCCTTTCATTCCTAAGACATGTATTTTGAGTTAATGAAGAAGCCTGACCTCTGAAAAGTCCTCCTCAGATGCTGTGAGCCATTATAGGTGATGGAGTTATTTGCTCTCAAGAGATTAATTGAAAGCCTGTAAGCATGGCACAGCTATAATTAACTAACTCATTACTTAGGATGGGTGTTTACCCATCTGGTGTCAACTGTAGTCAGCTGAGGTCTCCTCAATTTATTACTGTTATTACTGCAAGAGATGGATTTCATAAGAACAGACAGTTCCCAACTTAGGAAAGAAGACTCAGTTCCAAGTTTGCTTCTAAATTGGTTGTTTGACATTTAGAACACACATCCTTAAACTCCCTGGTCCATAAATACCTGTTTAACCCAGAGGTATTACTTAGAGATGTTTTTTCTGAGTATTTGTAAGCATGTGTCAAAGAAGAGGCCCACAACTTAAATTAGGTAGGTGGAATGACCCCACAACCAGAGAGATGAGAGATGATAGCACTCCACTGTAGCCCAACAGTTCGATCTTTAGGTTTTACTTATCATAGTACATCCATACCCAATTACAGACAAAATTGGAAGCTTCAGGAAAGTCATGCCAAGATAAAGAAGCTCTAAGCCAGTTTCTGCCTTGGAGTTCCATGAGGGATGCGTCTACTGATTTCTCATCCTCTCCCCGGGTCCCCAATCCAGAGCTACTCAGCGCTGCTCTCCCATCATGAAAGAGAGCAGACACTTTTCTCCTGACCTACAGAGGTAGAAGGAAGAGGGAAAGTCTAGGAGCTGTTTTAAGGAGCAGAAACCCCAGGGTCTTTAGACTGTATTTCTGAATTGTTACAGGGTAAGAATAAAATGCTGTAAGAGAGAAGTTAAGGAACCCATATCAGGGCTTTTAAATGCAACATCAACGGGAATGTGTGAGACCATAAGACCCACTAGAGGGTTTGAAAGAAGGGCTAAATGAATTCATGTACCTTATTCCCAAAAGGAAAAGCTCAATAATATCAATGTCAAGTTTTCCCATCAATTCCTTTCTAAATCCCAAATGAAACATTTTGGCCATGATGGAGGTATAGGGACTAGTTTTACCTTCTCACTTTAAGTAACTATAAAAAGAAAACTATGAATAAAAAAAGTTTTTTAGACACTTACCAACAGGCAGTGCCTGTTGGCAGTAGAGTATGCCTCCAGAAGGTATCCCTCCTCGCCCCATTTCACTACCTGAGACTGTCCAGGACACAATGTAGAAGGAAACCTAATGGATCACAGCAGTCTTTCTGAGTTGGGAAGGCAGAGTTGAGAGTTTAGATAAGCCAGGGTGGCTACCTAGACCATGAAGATCTGTAAAAAGTTCTCAAGTATCCCTGATCAGTATATAATTGTGAGGAAAGCACCTGAGGCAGGATGTGAAC